AAAGAAATCATCTTCAGGTATGGACATTTTAGGACCCTACTGAGTGATACTGGACTCGCATTTGTAGCTCACAATACTGAAAAGGTAGCCCAGGGCTTGGGCATTGTCTGAAAACTCCATACTGCTTGGAGACAATACTCATCAGGAAAGACTGAAAAAACCAATGAAACCTGCAAAATGACATTATCTAAATTTTGTTAGCATACCTAAGAAAATGGTTAGAGCTCCTGCTCATAGCCCAAATGGCTCTCAGGGAAGACCAAGCTGAGCATACTTCAGCTCATGTACAGATAGTCTATCCCACGTTTTCAACCAGGTCAAACTTAAACCCACTAACAGTAAAACACTGAGGTATGCCATACAATAAATTTGGGAGTGCATTCCTGAGCCCTTACAACATATGGAAATCAAATTAGGCTCTTCCCAGAGGATTTGTTCCTATGCCTCTTATCTTCCAGAGTGATTGGATATAATTAAAAACTTAAAAAATCAAGGCCAAGAAAAACAACTACCCCCAAGATGGGTGGACCCATACCTGGTAATCTTTTTTTTTTTTTTTAAGATTTAAGAAATCCTTTTATATTATAACACATTCAAATACTAAAATCAATATTTGTACAACTCTGCTTAATTTTGAAATCTCAGATAAATGGATAAACTTGTCAAAAGCATAAACTACGAAAATTCATTCAGGAAGAAATAACCTAAATTGCCCTATTTTTAAAGGAATCAGGTATTTAGTCTAAAATGTATTTCTAAAATACAAGGAGAAGAAAGGTTTCATAATGCATTTCTATAAAACAGCATTATTGAGGTACTGAAATCAGACAAAGACCATACAAAAAATCTACACACCAGTACTCTTGATGAATACAGATGCAAAACTCCTAAAAAATTTAATTAAAAAGTCCACCAACATGCAAAATTAAAACACCTTAATCAAGTGGGATTTATCCTGGGGATGCAAAGCTTTTCAAAAATTAATTAATGTAGCTCACTGCACTAAATAACTACAGAAAAAAATTCACATAAATATATAACACAAAACGTCTGAAAAAATGAGGCATACATTCAAAATAAAACTTTTGGCAAGGAAGAAGTGGAAGTAAACTTCTTTACAGTGATAAATAAAGGGCGTCCAGAAAGCTCTACAGCTAACATTGAAATTGAGGAAAGGCTGAATGTCCCCCAGATCCAGGAACAATCACATAGCCGACCACTGTGGGGCACCTAAGCCCTTCTGGACCTACCTCTCCATATCATGACACTCACTAGTGCCCACTTCCTGTCATGGGCGCTGCAAGAAATAATGACAGCACTTGTACCATATGAAAAACATTAAGCCAAGTCATCATGGTAGACACTAGCTCATGCTGACCTAGGAAACTGGATTATGAACAAAGGTCTTTCTCAGTCTGTTTCAGAGTGAAGGGTTCATAGATTACCAAAACAATTTGATTTAAAAAAAAAACAAAAAAAACTACCACCTTCTTAAGCTACCACCCCTACTCAAGACAGGTATGTACTCTTCTATACTCCAGGAATCTTCTTGTATGTGGGTATTTCCATAAGCAAAGCACACATTCCCAGAACACAGCAAACCCTAATCCAGTCTTAACTGTTGCTCATAAATGCCTCACCAATCAAAGACACCAGGAAGAATGCACTCAACTCCTTTTCCTTCAGAAAATACTTAGTCAAACCACCAAGCCCTCACGAGAACAAAAGAGCCATTGACCTTCGCATGGCAGGAGTTGGGGCTACAACTTCATTCATAGCTCCTTGGAGAGGGTCTGTCTATCACAGTTTGTAGAGTTTTAAGTCCTTAATCAGCTGGCTGGAAGGCAGCGTGGCATGGGGTGTGGCAGACAGGCATGGTAGAGGAGAAACATTTCATGGCAGACAGAAGGTAGCAAAGCAAGCACACAAAGGAAAAGACAAGTCTCTTTGTCATTTATACTGAATCTAGGCTACTGGGATTAGGGCAGTGCCAAACCAATCAGTGGACTGAGTTAGTAATCACCCACCCTTAATCCTAGCATTGCACTATGAGTCAGTCACACTCTCTGGATTCAGCATCTCTGAAAAAGCCCCACATGTGACTGCATGAGGCTTTGGGGGGACATCTAGACACAAACCATAACACCTATATTAGTAGTTTTCTTTTGTTTGCTGCCAAATAGTATTCCATTGGCATAATGCCCCCCATGTCCATGTCCTAATTCTTGGGACCTGTGAATACATTACTTGGCAAGGTGAAATCAAAATTTCAGGTGGCCTTGAGGTCTCTAATCCGCTGGCCTTGAGATGCAAGACTGTGGGCCTCCTGTAATCACAGGTGTCCTTATAAATGGAGGATGGAGGCTGGTAAGAGAGGTAAGAGTGGTGTAACATGAGAAAGGTTCATCTGATGGATGCTGGCTGGAACATGACAGGAGCCAGGGAATCTGGTGGCCTCTAGAAGCTGGAAAAAGCAAGAAATGTATTCTAGGCTGGAAGTGTAGCTCGGTGATAAAGAGTATATGCTTAGCATACATGAAAACCTGGGTTCAATCCCCAGCACCTACAAAAAAGGTATATCAAGCACAGTAGCAAAACAAAACAAATGCATTTAACCCTAAAAAAGCAAAAGAATAAAAACGAATTAGTTCTCCCCTAGAGCCTCCAAGACAGAACACAGACCTGCCAACACCTTGATTTTAGCCCAGTGGGACCTATTTCAGAATTCTGGCCCTCAGAACTATAAGAGGATAAATCCATATGGTTTTAAGCTACTCCGTTTGTAGCAGTGTGTTATAGCAACAACCAAAACCTGATGTCAATGATCTGGATAGAACACATTTTCTTCTCCCACCCACCTGCTGCTGGATATGTGGGTTGTTTCCAGTTCTTAGCTATCTTGCATAATGTTGTAGTGAGCATTCCTGGGAGTGTGTGTGTGTGTGTGTGTGTGTGTGTGTGTGTGTACACTATTTCTAACATAGTCACACTTTTTTCCAGTGCTTGAGGATTTTTGTATTTATGTTGATGTGAGAGATTGTTATCTACGTTTTCTTTCTTGCAAGGTTTTTGCCTGGTTTTGGTATTGGGATCATGCTGGCCTTATGGTATGAGTTAGGAGGCACTCATTCTTCTACTATATTCTGAAAAAATTGTTGATAATTGGTGTAATTTCTTCCTTACCTGTTTTATATAATTCACTAGTGAACCTGTCTGGGCCTGGGTATTTCCTTTTCAGAATGTTATTAATTATTACTTCAGTTTCTTTAATAGATGTAGGCCTATTTGAGTTATTTGTTTTACATTTTTCAAACATTGTACTTTGATAGTTCATGGGAGTTCAATGCACATGGGTTGTGACTCCTCTGGAAACCAAACATTGGTGCTCTCAGAGATGGCACAGCTGGCTGGAACCAGCTCCTGCATGTCACACCCGGCATTCTGTTATGAGCTTGTGTGCATGCAAGGCATGTGTATGTTGCGGGAGGGACCTTCTTTCTTAGCAGGTTCTCTGGGAATCTAGGAGGTTGCCTGTCTCTCCCCAGCTCATTTTTCTCTCCGTGTCTCTGGCACCTGCCAGCGTTCCAGGGAACACACCCTTACCTGAGAGCTGATAGTTTCACTTCATGCTGGAACCTCCTGATCATGCTGGGCCAGTAAGACATAGGTTCTTAGGAGCGTGGCTCCCCCACGGACACTGAGGCCCCTGTTGGCTCCCACCTCTTGCTGTTGCACCTGCTATGCCCTCTGCCTGCTTGCAGCCCTCTTCCCCAGATTTTGTAGTGGCTGAGTACTTTCCCATCACTCAGGACATCCCTGGGCCACCTGACTCTCTCCTTTGGAAGTCTTCCTGATACCTTTCATCTGCTGTCCCCCTCCTCTGCAACCTCCTTTCTCATGTCACTCACTTAACCTTCTTTCTGACACGTCAGTATCTCCAAATGATACTGTAGGCTTGCTAGATGTATCCACTGCCGTCCCATGTAAGCTCCGTGGGGCAGGACCTGTCCTGGGCTAGGGTAGAGGGTGGCACCTTGCCATATCCGTGCAGGCATAGACCCAGATCTGACCCAGAAAAGATGCTCAGTGTTTGAGGAGGTAAAGGCTACTTGCTTGGACAAGCCTCACCTAGTGCCCAGCATCCCCTGCCCTGCCCGGTCCACCTGGGCCCATGGAGTGGCCGCCTGTGGGGAGGGGCACTGGGGTGGCCACACCCAGCAGGAGGGATCCTAAGAGCTTCCTGGGGGCCCCAGGTGAGAGCCGGATGTGATCTGCCTTCGCCAGCTGCCCTCTGCACCTGGAGCTGGGATGTTCCCCCGGGTCTTTCCAGAACCCTTGCCACACTGGACAAGTCTCCTTCCTTCAGCAGAGCTCCAGGTTTGTCCCTTATAGGCCCCCATCCACCCCAACCTAGCACCACCTGTGGGACAGCAACCGACTCACTGTGCCGTGTGCCCAGCACATGGCTGTGCCTCCTCCTACCCCCACTTGCTGGCAGCCCCAGAAACAGTAGGGCGCCCTTCCCACCAGCCCTAAGGGATGGGGGGGAGGCTTGGTCTGCCCCAGTGCTGGGTGTGGACAGCTGACATTTCTCGGTGACGTGTGACTGCCCCATCCAGCCTTCAGCCTGTCCAAGGGGACTACCTGAGTGCCTCGGGACACGGCGCATAGGCACCACCAGCAGTCTGGGGGGCAGGGCGCTAGGCCCTCCGACACACCAGGCAGGGCCTGTGTGGCACCCAAGGAGCCTGGCATCAGCAGCAGACACATGGATTGGGAGTTCCTTGTGATGCTTCTCTCTGGCCACAGGCTGCTCTACAGTGAGGACCAGTTAACATGTGTGGCTCCACCCTCCAGCTTCTGGGTGGGTCCAGGGTCCTCCTCTTGCCCCAGCTCTGTCAAGGGGACAAGCCCTCCCCTAGGGCCACGGCTGCAAGTGGTACGGAAGTTTCCCAGGACAATGTCCAGGGAGGAGGCCCCCCCTGCTGCCTGGGACCTACATGCGGATCTGTGTGGTTTTCAAGGTGACCTTCAGCTCATCCAAGGTTTCCTCCATCTCCTGCGTGTTCTGGATCAGTGACAGGTTTTGCTCTTCCAGCTCTGTGAAGACATCCAGGAGCTGCTGGGGCTCCGTGAAGTACAGTGGCAGCTCCTATGAGAAGGCTGTGTGGGCAAAGGGTCTGGGGCAGGGACTTGGCAGGGTGGGGGGAGGAGGGGCGAGCAGAACTACAGAACTGAGCTACTGACCTCCCCTTCGCTGTCAGTGTCCTCCTGAGACTGGAGGGATGGGAGGGTAGAGCTCGACCTGCAAAGAAATGGGGTCAGAGCCCCCTAGACAAGCCTGTGTGGCCGGAAGCGAGCAGCGGGCACAGAGACCTGAGGACATGGGTGGAGCCTCTCCCTCATCCTTGTCCTCCCTACTGGTGCCCAGACATAGCACCAACCTGGCACAGCTTTGTAGATGTCACACAGCAGCCAGAGGACACTTCAAACTGTGATCAACAACTCTCACTCCTCTCCGCACCCCAGAGGTCACTGTGTCCCCACCTGTGAGCACCTTCTCCTCTCCTAGGTGCTGGCCCTACCCCAGTGCCTTTGCATCTGCGTGAGTTGCCTCTCCCTGACCATTTGTTTTCTGAGAGCAATCTCTGACACCTGTGCTGCCCCACCCTGGTCTCGGCACCTGCCCTTGATAGTCCCACTCACAGTTATCATGGAACACGCAGGCCACCTCCAGCGGACCTGAGCAGCGTGTCACAGGGGCAGGGCCTGTCCTGGGTTAGGGAGGAGGAGCACAGCAAAGGTGGGTGGGCTTTGACACTGAATGTGAGGCTCTGGACAACCTCTACATACTTGCAATCCTTTCGCGTCGCTCCCAGCCCGGGACTTGGCCCCAGATGTGCAGGTCATGCTGGCTGAAGGGTGGGCTAGAAGGGTGCGTGGCATATCTAACCTCTTAGAACCTCTGCTCCCAGGTACTGAAATGGATGTTCCCCAGCTGGGTCACAGGGGCTAAGGTTCTCATGCAGCATGTGCCTGGCCCAGCCTCAGTGTCACCAGTGATGGTCACCAACATGCCTACGGTGTGACATTCAGGAGCAAGTGGAGACAACCACAGGAGGGGGTCCAGGGAGCCACAGGCCAGGGAGGACAGAGAACGGGACATAGCAAGGCGAGCAGATATCCCGGCCTTGCAGAGAGAGGAAGGGAGAGGGAGGGGAGGAGCGGGAGCTGCACACCCACTTCTCCTCACATTCCCACCACTGCCTTCATCCAAATGCGTGCACTGTGAAGCTTCCTAAGAACACACAGTCAAGTATTTCAGTGACTTTTGGGTTGGCAAAGATTTCTTAAGCAAGATGCAAAATGCACCAGTCTGAAGCGAAAAGATTCGTAAGCTTACATTATTAAAATTAAGAATTCCTGTTCCTTAAAAGACAATATTAGAAGAGTAGTAGACACCACATAGATTGAGAGGAGATATTTGTCTTACAATTAGCACAGAGGACTGCTACCTAGAAGATACAAGGAGCTAACAGAGAACCATCAGAAAAAGACCAGTAATCCAATAAAAATATACAGAAACTAGACTTCACAAACTAGGATACATGAAAAGCCAATAAATATAAAATCTGTTCATATTTGTCATCAGGTAAATGTCCTTAAAACCATCTGAGAGGGCTGGGAGTAGGGCTCAGTGGTAGAGCACTTGCCTGGCATGTTTGAGGCCTTAGGTTCCGTTCCCAGAACCAAGCCATAGGAAACAAACAAACCACCCAGGATGCCACTTCACCGCTGTAGTACCACGTCTCTTAGTTTTTGTATTTCTGATGCCCTGACCCCTGGGTCCTTGCTGACCACAGGGGGACCCCCTCCCTCCAGGTTAGCCAGTTCCTAGAGGTGGTAATTCATCCTGGAGCGTGCTTTCCCATCGCAAACCCACCGCCTCTCAATGTCCACACCTTCCTGCACAGGGCTCTTACGCTGGGTCACTCTTCCTCTGCCCCGATCTTGTCCCCTCCCCAGGGATAGCACCAGACCACCAAGGACTGTGCCTGATATTATGCAAACTGGCCTGTCTCAGCCTGCTGGCTCACCTCACTGGCTGCTTCCTTGGAAGCCACAATATACCTCCCCCCACCCCCGTGCTCCTCCCTCCACCTTCTGACACTCAACACTTCTCACGGAACCCTATGTGTCTCAATGGCCCTCCTCTTAGAGTCTACCGACCTTTTAGTAGCAGTCTGGTTGGTTGCCTTTACTATCGCTAGGGGCCATCAGGAAGTGCTCCCTCCCCCCAGGCCCCTGCAAGACCACTTACCCTTTGGAATCCAGCCCGCTAGGCATGCTGGGCTGACTGATAGGCTGGAGGCTGCTGCTGCTGGATGGGGCCTGCCCCAGCCTGCCTGCCTGCGTAAGCTTCCAGGGCTTCTTCATGCCCTGAGCCTCTGGAGGAAGCAAGGGATTGGTTTCCATGGGCCCTAGTCTGGGGTGCAGGGCCCCTGCCAGCCTGCGACAGCCACGTACCTTTGGCCCACAGGGAGACCATTTTGCCCTTGCTTGCTGGTCCTGAAGGAAACAAAGGAGGGGTCTCAGATGGAATCAGCTGGGGTTCAGGCTCATTTGATTGATCCTGCCTCAGGGGGAGGAAAGTGCTTAGAGGGAAGTCCCTGGATTTGTTTGAGCACTGGCCATATCCCCACGCAAATGCTTGGGATGGGCCCCAGGGCACGCTAAAAGGCGAGCACTGTCCTATGTAGAGCCCAGGTGGGCCATGAAAGGTGGGAAAGGCCAGCCTGTGGCCCCTGCCAGCTGGGCACAAGGTCTCTGTACACCACTGGCAGAGCCCACCCTGAGGAGCCCCATTCTCTTTTCAGCTACCTTTTTCCACTGGTATGGAGGTCAAACTCCCCTCTTTGGGGATCTCGGAAACCTCCTTGGCTTTTTTGAGAGCCAGCTGCTTCTTCTCCTGCTCATCCAGCCATTCCTTGGGAGACACCTTATATAGGAAATCCTTATACTCCTTATAATGCCGTAGAGTGTCTTCCTGTTTGGAGATTTCACTAGGTCCAGGGAGGGAAGGCTGAGGTCAGGCTCTATCCACTGCAAGGCCCCGGGGGGGCCTGGCCCTCTGCCTTGGCCAAGCCTGGGTGGGCAACTTATTCTGTGGAGCAGGTGCAGGATCCCTGAATACTGGGGAAATGGCTAGAGGTGACCAGAGTTCCCGGAGTTGTGGGCCTTAGAGACTTGCAAGTTCCACTCCACCCAGGGGACCCTGACTGCCATTCTCAACTTAGAGCCAGGGAGCCTCTGAGCCAAACTGGTCCTCCATTTTGGTGGTTTGGCCTCAAGGAAATCACCAACTTTCTCTAGGCCTCCGTTCCCCCATCTGAAAATGAGCTACAGATTCCAGCAAGGATTTGAGTCCCTGAGAGTTACATGATACTAAGCTCCCTTTGGCGATGGGTCAAGTGACGGAGGAAAATAGAGACAGGCCACTAAAGGCCAGCAAGCCCTCTGCCTTCACCTTTTGATATTCACAATCTGAGTGGTGAGGTCCTGGATCTCCATGATCTTCTCCACCTTGGCTTTGGTCTCCTTCTCAGCCCTGGGGGACAGATGGGGACCAGGAGGACAATCTCCAGTGAGTAAAGACCAGCAATTAACCACTGGCCTTGGGCTCTTGGCTTGGAGGTAAGGAGCTAGGGGACTGGTCAGGGGTTAGGGCCTGGCTAGGGGTCTGCCTGAGGTCCAGCTAAGGCTGAGTTGGGTCTGGGCCAGGGCAAAGACAGTGAGTAGGAATGTACAAGCTCAAGGGCCCGAGGGGATGGTGTGGCTAGGCGGGCCGGCACCCTGCGAGCTCACAGTCTCATGGCCTGCACCGAGCTGCGGTCATTCTCCCGGAGGAACTCATCAAACAAGGCTGCATCCTTCTCCAGGGACCGCTCAGCCTTCTCCAGCTTGGTCTCCTCGCAGGTTGCCAGCATTTCTAGCCGCTGGATCTCATTGCGTTTCATATCCAGGGCATACTGAAGGCCAGCAGAGCAGGGGTCACAGCACCTGGCCTGGGCCAGACACCCCAGATGGAAGCCCTTTTGCTGGTGCAACATAGCCCACCTGGAGGAGAAACATCTTTCGGTTCTGGTCAAGGTAGCTGTTTATCAAACCAGGCTCCGATTTCTTTTCTGAAACGAGAGGAGGTAGGCAAGTGGGAGTGAGCAGCTCAGGGTGCGGCACAGGTCAGGCATTCAGAGACCCCGCAGGGGCCCGCAGCAGGCTCGCAGGCGGGGCTCTGCCGCCAGCCCACGAGGCTACAAGGATCACAAGGGATAGAGGTCTTGCTTTCTGCCACCAGCAAAAGAACAGAAGTCTCTCCCCAGTATATAGCCAGCCCTCCGTATCCGTGGACTCTGAATTCCCCGATTCAACCAGTCACAGATGGAAAACCTTTGGGGAGGGGCTGGGGATTTAGCTCAGCGGCAAAAGCGCCTGCCTGGCATGCGCAAGGTTGTGAGTTCGGTTCCGGTACCGGAGAAAAACAAAAAAACAAAACAAAACAAACATTTGGGAAAATTGCGTTTTCATCTGTTCTAAACATATGTAGACTTTTCCCCCTTGTCACTATAAATAACACAGTATCACTTTTTACACAGTTACATCTTATTAGGTATTGCAGTAACCTAAAGATGATTTAAAGTATGTAAGAAGGCCCATAGGTGATATGCCGGTTTATGTAAGGGACTTCAGTGTTTGCAGATCCGGCCTGCAAGTGTGGGTGGGGGTGTCCCGGGACTCAGTGCCTGCGGGCACCAAGGGTTCCATCTGTTATAGTCTCCATAGTTGGTGTGAGATGCGGTAGGAAGTCTTGTCTTGCTGTAGTAACCCTTTCACCTGGAATGAGGACTGGACAGCTCCACCTAGAAATGTCACCCGGTTGGGCTTAATTACAAAAGGCCTACTAGCAGGACCCGAGAGAGAAAAATGGGATACCCAAGGCCCCCAGAGCCCAGTCTACATCTTAGTCTACACTGGCGGGGTTTAAAGCAGGCAGGAGAAACGGAGGTGGAGGTTTGAACAACTTCCTACCACAAGCAGAGGGGCAGCCAAGTGCAGGCCAGGGCCATGAGGGCTCTCTCTTGTGCTTTGGGGGAGGAAGTGCACTGTGCCCGCTGACTTTGGAGTTCCAAGAAGCTGTGCAGAGGAACTTGACGTAGTGCGGCTCTTTGCTCTAGATCCTCAGCTCCTTTTCTTTCCAGAAGAGCAGCCCTGATGTGGTTGATGCAGGAACTCTTTTCTGAGTGCAGATGCCCGCTAGAGGCCCTGGCTTAGCCTCCTTGAGAAACTTGGGAGAAGTCCGTGTCCCTCAAGGAGACCCAGCTCCTCACTGGCAGTCCAGCTCAGGACAGGCAACTCTTACAGTCTAAATACATGGGGTTCCGTTTGCCGTGTCTTGTTTTGGCTGCCTCTCCCAGCCTTAGGAATAGAAGGCAGAGGCAGAAGCATGTGATGCTGCTTCCTGTATCAGGTTCAGCACACAAAACTTCCAGGCGAGCTCAGGATTCCCACCAAAGTGATAAGCTGCTGACATCAGAGGTGGAAACTGTGGAGTCCTGTCATGTTTTATATTCATATTTAGTACCTGTTCTAGTTTGGATCAAAAATACCCCCCAAAGGTTCTGTGTTCAGAGCTGGAGCTCTGGAAAATGATTAAGCACGGAGGGCTAGCCTCATCCGTAGGTGCAGATGTGCTAAGGAGGGAGGATCCGCCTGGAGAGTACATCACTGGGGGCATAAGCAGTGTATGGGGTTTCCTACCCCTCGCTCCCTCTGGCTCTTTCTTGCTCGCTCTGCTTTCTGGATGCCATGAGGGAAGCATCTTCCTTCCGCCACACCCTTCCACCTCGATGCTCTGCCTTGGAGCCAGGCAGACACCCAGGGGCTGAAACTTCTGAAGCTGTGAGTTAAAATAAACCTGTCCTCCTCTGTGTTGTTTAGGTTGAATCTGCAGTCACAGCAAGGCAAAGCTAACACACCTGGGACCCCACTGTGTCCCAAGACTCTGCCTCTTTCTAGCTTTGTTCCAGGTCCAGCTGCAGCACTGCAGCACTGAGTTTCACGGGCGTGGCCAGTTACTCGGCCCCTTGCCAGTCAGTTCACGTCCTGGCTGTTAATGGTGCCAACCTCCATGGGTTCTGGGAGTTAACTGTGTTAGTACATTGAATGTAGTAAAGAGAACATATATATGACAGAGTTGTTATTATTTTTACTACCCAGTTGGAATCTTTTTTTTTTTTTTTTTTTTTTT